AAACTGAAGCAGAAGAGGTTCCAGTTGAATATGAGGGAAAAACTTCTTTACTCTGAGGGTGACGGAGAGCTAGAACAGGCTGCCCAGGGGGGCTGTGGAGTCTCCTCTGGAGATACTCAACCCCCTCCTGGATGAAGTCCTCTGTAACATGCTCTGGGTGAGCCTGCTTTAGCAGGGGGGTTGGACTGGATGATCTCCCGAGGTCCCTTCCAACCCTTGTGATTCTGTGAAATTGGCCTAAATTGCTCCTAGCATGGTGCTGCTACCAAGCTGGGGATGGATGTGGGAATTCTTACTGGTAATCATTACCTGATGATATAAACGCTGTGCCAACAAGCACAGTATTACACTGAAAATTTAAAAAGTTCTTTTAGTTGCTGTTCTTGGTGGGGCTTCTATGAATATTACCAGTTACAAGTTACCTACTGTAGATTTTTTTTTTTTTTCCCCCACCAGGCTCACTGATTCTTGATCTGTGCATATTAAGTCTGTGGCTATTAATGAAACTACAAAGCTGATGCTGTAAAATCCCCGAGGCACTTGGAGCTACCTGAGCAGTAGCAGAGAGGTTTAGAGGGGCCTGAGAACGCGCTGACTTGCCCAAGACCCACGAATTACCCCTCACAAAATAATGTGGTATTTTTTTTTTTTCCCCCACCAGGCTCACTGATTCTTGATCTGTGCATATTAAGTCTGTGGCTATTAATGAAACTACAAAGCTGATGCTGTAAAATCCCCGAGGCACTTGGAGCTACCTGAGCAGTAGCAGAGAGGTTTAGAGGGGCCTGAGAACGCGCTGACTTGCCCAAGACCCACGAATTACCCTTCACAAAATAATGTGTTCTTTTTCTGTTCATTTGCTCAGGTAATCGTTTTAATACCTTTTATCTGATAAAATACAAAAAGTGGTGTAAAAGCAAAGGGAGAGCGAGTTCTTGGAAGTTTTATCTCGCAATCTCCTACTTACAGCAATATTTCCTCTTAGAGTAGCTATATTTGAGGCAACATCTTAGGTAAACCAGCAAGAACTGCCTTTCCAGCTGCATCTGTGTTCTCCGACGTGGCAGCCGGCCTAATGCGCGTCGTAACTGCTATGACATTGTCCTGAGTAACTTGCATGGTGTGAAGCAGAAGATGAACCGCTGACCCTGAAGAGTGTCGTCATCCCAAGGGACCGCATTAGAACCAGTTCCTACCGATCCACTGAGTGTGAAGACTTTTTGCATTCAATGTCGTTATTTTACAGTGGAGGTGGTTTGATTCCCTTGATAGCAGTCGTTTATTTGCATTATTTAGTGAGCTTTTGGGCCTTAAAGGAAGCCTTAAATAGGAAGAGGC